AGATACACCCTTATGTTTGCAGCCTTGCAGCGTTTCTTCACTTGAAGCCGAAAAATCTCTGGAGTCTTTGCCCACCGTAAATATTTTACACAAAAATCTTTCCTGAATGCAAACCAACTTACTGACAGTTCCTTCCATATATTTGCAGCACGCAAGGATGAGGAGAAAGAGTAGTTGCAATGTAGTCATCAAATAGGAAACGAATTGTAGAGTTATAGGGATCTCCCTTGATTAGGTGCAAAACTAAGTGATTCTCCTACTCCTTAGTTTTCTAACTATACTTATTGATTGTTTAAACCCAACGCTTATGAAATTTTGTCTTATCTTAATTCGAAGGCCCTCCTTGCCCCTGTCCGTCGCGTTATTTGAAGCACAAAGACGGCCCATGCATATGGCCTTGCCCGTGTGAAGCTCACTGCTATGACACTCCGCCCACGACATGTTAAATGCTACAGTGCCCAAACTTAGTATATTGATATATCTACGACCATTGTCCCCGGTTCTACAATAAGCAGCAAAATTCGTGGGATAATGTCCGGCTTTTTAAAAAACAAGTCTCTAAATCTTCCTAGAGAAACGACTAAAGCTTTTTAAAGGAAATTATGCATATCAGAACTATATTTTTTACAAAACATTTTCAAAAATTATGAGAAGAGAAAAAAAGGCATACTTTGAATTCTAAATTTTGCGACATAGTCTCTTGCCTTTCGCCCCACTTCAATACACCAATTCCACTTGTTTCTGTAAGTAGTTGTAGTCGCATCTCTACTAAATCGAATGTTTTATGGTTTTTCTTTCGCCAGGTGGCTTTTAATAGTGGACGAGCATTTTCTATCGCCGCTGGTTGTGCCTGGCCGGCTAACGGAAACGAAACTAATTATTGATGATCAAAAACCCTGAAAATTGCAGCGTTGAAGGCTTCTTATGTGAAACAACAATCGCACAAAAAAAAAATGTAAAATTTGTCAGAAAAATTGCTAATCGAAATCCTAAATCTAGAGAAAAAAATTGTAAAAACCCTCTTATTTTGGGTTTTTCGTTTTTTTTTTTTTTTTAATAAAGACTTGGTAGTACACTATCCGACCTATTAAAAGCCCACAATGAGCTTCTGCTTTTATTTGTAATAGAGGTAGAAAGTATGGCAAATGTGGCAAATGTCTATATGTGGAATACTTTCCTGTAACGCTGAAAAGCAAAAAAGTTTACGTAAACTGGTTTTATATACATATCATCTTTAGCAGTCTGCCCTATCTGCGAGCATAGTTTATAAATTGTGATGAGATGGAAATAATCGGTTACAAAATCCATTGCCATTTTACATTCAATTGATACCATTTTGACGAAGAACTACTCTATTACACAAACTAAAGGTAATGACGAAATATTGTCTTGCTTGTGTTGAAAAGTGAAATTTTAAATCTATGCGACAGTGCGGCCGGTAAAATATCGTTTGAAAGAAAAGTGTTTTTGGAAAATAGCTACGCCATTTTATTTTTAAAAACACCGGCGCTTCCTTTCCCGGTGAGCCAACATCACCCTTTCGACAGGTCTTATCTCTAATTCCCTCTAACCAGTTTGTCTAATATAAACTAATACATATACGGCACGCGTGGTCGCAAGGAGAATATCTTGTTGATTAACGTCAACAACAGAGTCGCGACTAAAAGCCTAAGGGGTTGCCATTAACTTTTCAATCCCGATATCTAAGAAGATCTGCAGTACAAATAATAGTAATTCGTTTCGCCGCAAAAACGACGAACAAAACAAGTAAAGGCTACGGTCCACTTTAAATATTCTACGCCACTTCGCTTAATACAGTTATTCATATAAAGATTTTTCAAAATAATGCATTATATGGGAAGTGGTTGAAAAAGCTCTGTTCCAAGCTATTTTAAATAGCTTTCGTCCTTGGACCAACACCAACCAATTTCGTCAAAATATCTCAAAAGTTACGACCTGTGGCGTGAACAAAGGAATGCGAATCGATAGACGGCCGCACAGCCAACCAACAAGCTTAGATCGATTTAGTAGATAATTTCTAGAATAGATTCAGAATTATTTTCTGCCCTCCGATCAGTGTAATAAAAGGCGGGTCTACTTTAAATCCTTCGGGGTACTATATACTTCCACACAAACTTTATGTACCCCGTACGAAAGCTCATGTTGCTCGTTGCTGTAGCAACGTCTTTTATACCTAGCAACCTTCTCTTAAAAGGAAAACAGTAAAAGTTGGATATTCTATATATAACATTGGGTGAACTTGGCCGATTTTTACTGTTACATCTGTTGCAGGATGTAATTAATGAGCAGAGAACTCAATTTTTAAGCTTATGAAACAAACATCATTTTTGTGACCAGACGAATACTTATCACAGACCATTACACGCAGCCAAACAAGTCTAACATGCTTACATCGATTCAGAATTTGAAAATGGTGAAGTGTCTATATATATACACTACTATACAGGAACTCAAAACTTCTGTTTTTTTAACTGTAGTCTGCATTGTTCCATTATTTTTTCCTCCCTTTTATCAGATTTATAAGCGATTTGTAAACTTTATTAGTTTTAACCATCATTTATTGTACCCTACACTACTTGTGGTACAAGATAGATTAAACGAGTGCTGGTGTATGTAATACGCAGAAGAGCTTGAGATAAACCCACCCATCCACGATCGATTCAGAATCATTAATCTGAATTGATCTAACCTTTCCTTTTGTTCACTTCGTCTCTTTTTGTGTTATACGAATGTAGAACACCGCCTGAGTGAATTAAAAAAAAGGCAAAAAATTGAAAAAAATAGATAACCAGCGATGAGAAATAATTTGAGTAGAATATACT